AATATTATATTACATAAATATAACATGTAAAGCATATTCAAATGAGAATTTAAAAATAAAATCAAATATATAAAACATTTTCAAGCATATAAAACCCACAATCTCCGTTTTTTCTCAATTGCATTACTTCAAGTAGCTAATGTGATATAAAACATATTACATTCCTGATTCTACGAGCTGCCTTTGTGCGACACCCTTTAAGGCAAGCCCAAACAAGTCCACATTAGGTCTTAAATTCTTAGTTTTCACACAAAAAATAATGATTTTATAGTTTTATTGTTTTTTAAGAAGATATTTTATTAGGATGAATGAATGAACAACATTACCAAATAGGGGGGGCTCTACTCCACTCCGGTTTGCTCGCGGCTTGCCTCGAGGGGTGTGACACGAGGGTTTGGGGGCGGAGCCCCCGACCCAACCACTAGACACAAAAAAGCCAAAAAGCATCAAAGTTTCAAAAGGCGCACGCTTGGGCCGAGGCGCAAGGCGCACCAGGTGTGCACCTTTTCAAAGGGCTGCGCCTAGGACCTGGGCGAGGCGCCTACCCTGAAATGCGCCTAGGCCCGCCTTTTAAATCACTCATCTGGGCAGAGAGACAGAATAGTTTTTCAAAACAAATCTAAGGATGTAGACAGTCTTGTATCTTGTAGTGTGGGGAAATTAGTGTCTTGGACTTCAGCTGTGAAAGGGTTCCAATCCCCGGCTCTTGGTGCACAACTGAGGTCTAGAAGTTTGTTTGAGCTATAATCTAATTTTGGGCTTGGTTCTCTGTATTCTAGCTCCGGTTTTGGAGCTCCTCTGTCATTTCTGTTGTCTTAATAAAATTACCTTACCTTTTTTTCAAAAAAAAAAAAAAAAACATTACCTTCATTTTTTATCATGAACAAATTTTATCCTTACATTGATATAATCTATGATATTGTAATTCATCCCACCAATTTGCTCCCTCTTTATCATGCTTGTGAGTGATTTTTTTGAAGGGTAAAGAAGCAGTTTTATTAAAATAGAAAGAAAGATACAATCTGATTGGATGTCAAGATAACACCCCACCATACAAACACTATGAAAACAGATTTACGTTACAGGCTGGGATTTCCACCAGATCTACACTGTTAATATGCTTCTGGGAGAACCAATACCCAGCTTGAAACAAGCTTTCTGACTGATGCCCCCAAAGCTTCAAGTCCTTTTGATTTGTCCTTGAACAACCTCCTATTTCTTTCCTTCCATAATATCCAGCACACTGCAAAAGGAATGCAGCTCCAAACAATTCTTTCTTTCTTGCTTCCTTTGAATCTTGGCCAAGCCGAGAAGATTTCTGCATGTGAGTAAGACTGAAAAATCTGCTTGCCACACAGAAAGGAGTAGAACCTCCAAATGAAATTTGCCACTACACAGGAAAAGAACAGCTGCCAAACTGATTCCTCATCCTTTTTATATAAGTAACAGCAGCTTGCTAGGAAGCCTCTTTTCTTTGTGGGTGATGAGCCACTTCCTAGGATCACTGTTGCTAGGAAGGTTGTTCCAGAACTTGTAGTAGGACATCAGCCAGGTGAATCCTTGCTTTGACCAACTGATGCAGAATGGGAAATGTGGGAAGAAGAAGAGCATTGTCATCTTCAAAGAAAACTTCTTCAATCCACTAGGAGAGGCGATAAAAACTCAACACAAATGAAATTCTTCAAGGGAGCTCTTCCTCCTGGAATGGATAAGAGAAAGAAGAAAAAGAAGTTAATAGAGATAGAAGAGAAGGTTTGAATGCTTTTTCTTATTTTGCTGTAGGGATTTTCAGCAGCTATTTATAGCATCATCGTAATGGATGGTTCATGCCAGCTACCAATACATGGGAATGCTCAAGTTATGCTGACGTGGCCTCCTGGTGTAGACAAACTTGATAGGTGTTGTGTGGGATACTTTCACTGGGTTYCTAGACTTGAGACCTGAAGCAAGAGATAGATGAACCTGGGTGCTCGCTGGACCAGAATTCTATTGCATCCCCCTTGGAAACAACCTTGTTGTCAAGGTTGAAATAGGAAATTGGTGCTGCAGCTTCCAAATATCTTCCCAAGTTGCATCTTCTTATGGAAGGTTCTTCCAGCTAATAAGGGCTTGCTTAATTTGTTTTGTACTAGACTTAATCCACCTGAATCCTCTAACAGCCTCAGATTCTACAATTGTGCACATCATCTGAGAATTGTGGTAAAGTGCTGCTCACTATGGGCTATAGCTGATGGAGATGGATGGTTTCAGTAGGCTAACATGAAATATTGGATGCAGTTTGGTTCTTGGAGGAATGTCCAGTCTGTATGTGATTTGTCCTATTCTTTCAATCACCTTGAATGAGCCGAAGTAGTGGGGAGCCAATTTCTGCCAAGCTCTCTGAGCCAATGAAGGTTTGCCTATATGGCTGCAGTTTAAGTTATACTAGATCCGCTATCTGAAACTCCAGCTCTCTGTGTTTCTGATCATATGAAAGCTTCATTTGTTGTTGGGCTTTCTGTAGGTATAATTTGAGATCTTGGAGCACCTTATCTCTCTTAGTCAACTGTATTCTACTTCAGTTACCACAATTGATCACTTTTCATAATGTAGCACAGCAGACAACCATAGAGAATTTTGAATGGAGTGGTACCCGCCGAAATCTGGTAAGTGGTATTATTACCAGAACTCAGCCCAAGGGAGCCAGCCACTAGACCCATTGCTTGGGTCTGTCACTGACAAAGCAATGCAAGTATGTTTCAAGACAACAGTTGACCACTTCAGATTTTCTGCCCGTTTGCAAATGATAGTTAGTTGAGTGTAGAATTTGAACTCCTTGGGCTTGGAATTATGCCTCCCAGAAGTGGCTCATAAGTAGGGAATGCCTGTCAGTGGTTATGGGGCTAGGGGTGTCATGCAACTTGGCTATCTCCTGAATATATGCCTTGGCCACTATGACAGCTGTGTATGGTGTGGGAGGGCCACAGAATGTCATACTTTCTGAACCTGTCAACAACCACCAGTATCACCGACTTGCCTTGAGATGTGGGCAGCTAGTAATGAAGTCCATTGTCATATCAATCTCAAACCTTGTCAGGAATAGGTAATGGATGAAGCAAACCAGCTGGAGCTTATGTACTGTATTTTTGTTTTTAGCAATTAGGACACTTGGCCATTCTTGACAATAAATCCGATTGAAATATGAGGAAGTAGAGAAGAGAAGGAAAGAAGAGAGAAAGGAGAAGGAAGAAAGGAAGAAAGGAAGAAGAAAAAGTTTGGAGCAATAGAACAGTACTGGCGGCGCCAGATTTTATTATATTATATAGGGCGGCAGGAAAAAGAAGGGAAAAGACCCTTGTGCCCCTGCTGTAAGTGAGTACAATAACAGAAATAACAGAAATAAAAAATGCTGTAACTAGCCAAACAGATCCTAACACAAATAACTAAATTATTTCAACAGCCATATATTCCCTGACCATAGACTTTATCCCGCTTTTTAGTAATAGTGCATGCATAGGTGCTTGTAGGTGCATAGGACTCCTGACTGTTCTCCCACTGCTGAATCATGAAACATATGAAGCAAAGAAACTCACATAATGGGCTGATGATTGGCAACCACCAGTCAGTCCTTGTAGAATAAGGTCAAGTCTACCATGGAATTCCCAGGAACAGATGTTGGATCAAGTTCCAACATGGATCTGATCTGAATAAGGACAGGATCTTGCTGTGCCTCTTTTATCTGATCCAGGAGTGGGTACCTGGGTTGAGAAACCCCTAACAGTTAATATCATTTTATATTTTTGCATATTTCACAATGTTTCCACCATGTCTATAATTTTTCCCATATTTCCATACAATATTCCTGACATTTCTGACATGTTTCCTATATTTGGATGGCCGACATTTCCACCAACATCGGCATTTTAAACCTTGGTCCATATGTGCATCTGAGCAAGACTTTCCCCTTTTCTTTGGCCATTAAAATGTAGTCAGGTTAAACAAACTTTTCACCTCAATTGATAAGTTCCACTGTACCCAATAAAAGGGGGAAAAACCATTCCGAAATGCTTGCATGAAATGGATCAAAGATTAGTAGGTGGACCACAACTCTCACTATTGGATATATAGAGAATTTGAGGGGTTCTACACAACTTCATTGGAAGGGGGTAGCTGAATTTGAGGAGAAGAGCAAAGAGAATTAAAAAAAGAGGCACACGAAAAATGACCTCTAGGATGGGGAGCTCAAACATGCCTGTGAGCTTTTTAGAAGGATCCATACTTTATCAAGGATATGCAATAAATCTTCAACCACATCAACTTCACCATCTCTCAAGCCCCTTCTAAAGCTGACATCCTGGTTAAGACTGATAGAAAGCAAGGGAGGTGTGAGGAATTTTAAAATGGGTTCAGATCTTAAAAAGAAAGCTTGAATTTTCAGGTCTGCTCCTACAGATCTGAATAGTAGAAGCCCTCATGTCATTGTAGAGGAAGTTCAAGCCTCTAACAAAGAATGGTTATTAGTCTTTGTGAATAAGAAAAATGAAAAAGAAAACATAATAGATGAATGAAGGATTATGGTGTGATTCCCCCCTTTTATTGATATTTATAATAAGAATAGGAGTTTCAAAATGACTATATTACCCTCCCAAAGTAAAAGATCCAAATACCCGTATACAAAGATTTTGTTATCTACAATCCTTAAAATTCTTTGGGATGACATTTGATGCTTTTTGCAGGTTTTCTGTTGAATTACTGTTATTGGTTGTATCGTTGGCTTTAATATAGTAGTTTAATAATCTATATTTTTTGTTCTATATATAAGAGACATTTGTCCATTTCATTCATGACTTTCAGTGAACTTTGCAATTGCCTACCTGCTTTCATCTGACCTGAAATAAACTCAAAATTTGGCAATGCATTTTGACAAGTTGTATTTTATGTAGTTTTTTTTTGTGATAAGTATTTATGTAGATATTTATTAAGAGCAATAAATCCCTTTTGGTTGTATTTGTTTTAAGCAGGCAGTGAATGCAACTTTTCTAGGTTAACATTTGATGGCGTTGACTTAATGGGTGAGAGGTTGGCTAATGAGGTATTTATAATAAGGCATTATATGTATTTCTTTTTGTGACATTTTGTTGGTCCTTACTTTCCTGGTGTTTCATAGTTTGGTTAGTTAATGAGGTACAAATATTAATGATTTTTGATATACTTTATTGTGGAAGGTGTTAGTCTTGTTTTCATGGTGTTCAATTGTGTTACTTGGTTAAATATATATCTCATAATAATAAGAAGAATATGCAAGCTAAAATCTTAGGGCTGTCATCCCCCATCATATCATATATAATAAAGGGTAAAAGACAAATACTTCTACACCAAGATATGTGGAAAACTCAAAACTCCTTTTCAAGTTGATCATAGATGTTGAGGATGGTCAACCTGCTATGAGTACCGTCATATACACATAATAACTCTTTTATTAGCAAGTTTATTTTCCGATTTCACTAAAGGAAGACACAATCACCCAAATTAACTATATTCAGTATTCCACATCAAATATTGAGTCCCCTTTTCATGCCATGCTTGGTAGGGTTTTGAGATTAGCAGTTTGGTTATTCTAGTACAACCTTCTTGATGTGAAAATTTAAAGAAAATTTCATACAACATAATTTACTTAATGAAATAATTGAGTTCTTGTTATTTTGCATTAGGCTCTGTAGAGATCATTAGTGTGTCCCCACCTGTTTTTGTTTGTCTATTATGTTTAATGTTTAGTCTTTTGTTTAGTTTCAGTCGACAGTTATTTTCTGTTAGTTGTTATTTATTTCTTTTGTAAACAGTAGGGGCAATTCAGGTTTTTCCCCTATTATTTAATTGTTAATATAAATAGAAGTTGGGGGGGGGGCGACAGTCAAAATGATCACCCACATTCTTTGACTTCTCCTCTTCGTTTTCTCCTATTCTCAGATCTCTTTCTTGATTCTGTACATTATATCTTGGACTGATTACAGTCCTACTCGACAACTTGGTATCAGAGCCAACCTAGGGCTTCTCATGTCAGTCTAATCAGGCCGACTGCATGAGAACTTCCTAGGGTTCAAAGTTTCAGCAAAACAAGACCATCAGCTGATTCTTGGAGGTTGTTGGCAGTGTGCAGCTACCACTCAAGGGACCGTAGAGCCTTGGAGAGTGTCCAGCAATCAGGAAGAATCAGAAGAAGGGAAGAATCTTCAAGATTAGGGTTCATGCTTGGTTTTGAAGGTGGCGGCCTTTGTTTTCTGAAGTAAGTTGATTTCTTTTGAGATCGATCTATTAAAAGAACCTTTTTTTGGTTATTCTAAGAGATGCGGCTGAGAGATCTCCCTTCTCTCCTGAGTCATTAAGGTTTTTCTTGACCTACGACTAGTTCTAGGTACCCTAAACCTTTTGACTGTTGTCAATTATAGGGCAACAGTTAAATCAGTTACAGCTTTGCAGACTAAGTGATTTAGTTTTCTGGAAAAACAACAGAGCTGTCCTAATATTTCTGGGTGGATTGCCGACCTAGAAGGGTAAAGTAGGTTCAGCTGTTAACAAATTCTGGGTGTAATTACCTAGTCTCAGTGCTAAAAGGGGTGCTTTTTGACCTTTATCTTGACAAGAATGGAGTTTAAGAGCCAAGGGGAAGGTGTTCTAGGGGCTGGAGGTTCTGGTAACATGCCTGAGAACACTTTTCAGGTTGCAACTGTCAAGTTTGACGGTTCAAATTATTTGGAATGGGCCCAATCAGCCATGATGGCCATTGGGGGTAGAGGAAAACTATTTGATGGGGGATGTGAATGAACCAACTATGGAGGACCCAACCTATGCCAAATGGGTTCAAGAGAACTATTTGGTTATGACATGGTTGTGCAACTCCATGCACCCCCACATCAGTCAAAATTACTTGTGGGAAAAAACAACTAAGGAAATTTGGGACATCATGAAAGAAACCTATTCTCAACTTCTTAATGTTGCTAGGGCCTATGAGCTGAAATGTGAAGTAAACAACCTTAAGCAAGGAGAGAAGCCTGTCTCAGTTTACTTCTCAACCTTGAAATCTCAGTGGCATGAAATTGATCACCTAGAGACGATTGAGTGGGAAAGTCAGAAGGATGCACAAATTTATAGGAAGCAAGTGGAAACTAATAGGGTGTTTGAATTCTGAGTATGATATTGTGAGATAACAACTTCTCACGAAAGAAAGTGTGACCTTATCACAAGCCTATTCCTTAGTGCACAGTGAAGAAAGTAGGAGGAAAGTTATATTGCATCATCAACCTTTTGAATCAGCCTTGACAGTAGTCAAACCGATGTTTGGGGGTGATAAGGAGGGGGATATGAAGAAGGAAGATAAGAGGGAGCTAGTATGTGAACATTGCAAGAAACCGAAGCATACTAAAGACACATGTTGGAAGTTACATCCACATTTAGTTCTAGCAAAGCTCAAAAACAAAAGGGGAAATGCTAATGTGGTTGTTACTACYGATGGAGCACCCTTGTCGAGTACAAGAGCTACATCCCTAGACACCTTGGAAATTCAGCACCATTATCTCAGCCATCAGTCACAACATCTGCTGCTCCCACTTCAGCATTTGCTCATTCAGGTACACGGGCCTCAGCTTATCATGCATCAGCCCCAGGTAACACTGAACCTTGTTGGATAATAGACTCAGGTGCATCTGATCACATGATTGGCTTATCCTCACAGTTTGCTACCTATCACTTATCCTCAAGCAGAGAAAAAGTGTCTATTGCTGATGGCTCTCTTGTTCCTATTTCTAGAAAGGGAGACATCAAATTGTCTAATGCCATTTCTTTGTCTTAAGTTTCACATGTCCTTAAACTTAGTACTAACTTGCTTTCTGTTAGTAGTATTACTAAAACCCAAAATTGTTCAGTGACATTTTTTTCCTAATCGATGTGTTTTCCAGGATTTGGAGACAAAGAAGGTGGTTGGGATTGGCCATGAGATGAATGGAATCTACCTGCTTGGAGGAAGCTCACATGGGGAAGACAATGTGAGTCTTCCCGGTTAGGTCATTTATCTTTTAGGTGTTTGAAAAGTTTATTTCCTAGTTTGTTTGAGTCAGTCTAGATGTTTGATTTGAAATGTGAAAGTTATGAATTTGCAAAGCATTGTAGAACAACCTATTCCTTGAGTAATAAAAGAAGTATTCCTTTTGAAATTGTGCATACTGATGTTTGGGGACCTTATCATATCACTGCTATGGGGGGGGGGGTATAGATATTTCTTGTTGTTTGTTGATGACTATACTTGTTTCTCATGGGTTTACCTTATGCGTTCTCGATATGAGATTGCCACCTTAACGCAGACCTTTCATCAAATGATTTTGATTCAATTTGGGGTCAAAATCAAAATCTTCAGATCTGATAATGCAAAAGAGTACTTTGCAAAACCCTTAACCTCATATTTCCTTGACTATGGGATTATCCATCAGAGTACTTGTCCTCATACTCCTTAGCAAAATGGGGTTGCTGAGAGGAAGAATAGACATATATTGGAGGTAGCTAGAAGCATCATGTTCAACTCTAATGTGCCTATACGATTCTAGTGAGATGCCATTCATACAGCTGTATACCTCATCAACCGAGTTCCTTCACGGGTTTTAGACATGAAAGTTCCATTTACCATCTTATATCCTGATGAAGAGTTGTTCACTATTCCCCTTAAGACATTTAGATGTACTTGTTTTGTTTAGACCCTTGGACCTTATCATTCCAAATTTGATCCTAAAGCCTCAAAATGCATTTTCCTCAGTTATGCACAAACTCAAAAGGGATATTGTTGCTATGAACATACTTTTGGGAGAAGGTTTGTCTCTATGGATGTCACTTTCTTTGAGGATGTACCATATTATCCTAAGGTTTCTTCTTAGGGGGAGAGTAGTGAGGTGGGGATTCACCAGAAATTCCATTGCTTGTCCCTATCATTGAAGGGGAGTTTATCATAGACGGTGGAGGTAGGTTGATTTCAACCATCAGCAGTTCAGGCTAGTCCCAGTTCCTTTTGCGGATCCGGATCCAATTTCCACAGTTCCTTCATTTTCCATTACAGATGAGATACTTTCCATTGTTGAACCTTTACCTCCATTGGATGACCTTGACCTTCCCATTGCAGTTTGTAAGGGGAAACATTGTTGTATTTCATCTATAGCACATTGTATTTCCTAATTCTTGTCTTATGATCATCTGGCCCCCTCTTACAAGTCCTTTTTGGCATCCATTGCTTCTATTCCCATTCCTAGAGCAATGAAGGAAGCCATGTTAGTCCCTGAGTGGAAAGATGCAATGAAAGTAGAAATGGATGCTTTTCTGAAGAACTATACATGGGAATTAGTTGATCAACCTAAAGGGAAGAAACCGGTGGGGTGTAGATGGGTGTTTACAGTGAAGCATAACGCTGATGGTTTCGTTGAGAGGTATAAAGCCAGATTAGTTGCAAAGGGATTTACTTAGACATATGGCATAGACTACTTGGAAACTTTTGCACCAGTAGCCAAGATGAATACTATCAAGGGTTTTATTATCTCTTGTAGGTAATTACTCATGATCCTTGTTTCATATGGATGTTAAAAATGCTTTCCTGAATGGTGACTTGCAAGAAGAAGTGTACATGCAGTTGCCCCCTGGATTTTATAGTGCAGACACAGGAAAGAAGGTTTGCAGACTAAATAAGGCTTTATATGGACTGAAACAGTCTCTTAGAGCCTGGTTTGACAGATTCAGACAAGCACTTGAAAAGTTTGGCTATGTGTAGGCTCAGTCAGATCACACTTTCTTTATTAAGAAAGTGGATACCTCCTTAACACTGCTATCCTTATATGTGGATGATATTGTGGTGACAGGGAGTGATACCCATGGGATTGACTCTCTTAAGCAACTCCTTCACCAAGAATTTGAGGTCAAAGACCTGGGAGAGCTACGGTATTTCTTGGGTATTGAGGTAGCACGGTCTAAGCATGGGATTTTTGTTTTCCAAAGGAAGTATGTCCTTGATTTGTTGGAAGAAACAGGGAAGTTGGGTGTTAAACTAGCTGACACACCTATTGAACAAAATCACAAGATTAGTGTAGGAGGTGGAGAGCCCCTTGAGGATAAAGTCATGTTTAAACGATTAGTTGGAAAACTTCTCTATCTATGTCTCACACAACCAGGCATCAGTTATGCAGTTAGTGTTAGCCAGTATATGCATTCCCCTAGAACTACTTACCTACTTGTAGTTGAGAAGATACTGGCATATTTGAAAAGATGTCCAGGCAGAGGTATACTATTCAAAAATAATGGTCACATGAAAATAGAAGTTTACACAGTTGCTGATTCAGCTGGATGTGTTGATGATAGGAGGTCTACCTCCGGGTATTGTACCTTTGTAGGGGGTAATCTTGTCTCTTGGAGGAGTAAGAAACAAAATGTTGTTGCCGGTTCTAGTGCTGAAGCTGAATATAAGTCAATGGCAAATGGTGTGGTTGAAGTATTATGGTTGAAATCCCTATTTGAGGAGTTGGGTATCTCTTATGAGAAGCCTTTAATTCTGTACTGTGATAATCAGGCTGCTATTAACATAGCCCGTAATCCGGTACAACATGACAGGACTAAACATATTGAAGTGGACCAACACTTTACCACAGAGAGAGAGTTGCTTCTAGTGTGCCTTCCATATATCACCTCTAGTATGCAAGTTGCAAATCTCTTCACCAAGGCAATTCCGAAGACAAAGCTCGAGGCAGACCTATGCAAGTTGGGAATGACAAACATCTATTCCCAACTTGAGGGGGAGTGTAGAGATCATTAGTGTGTTCCCATGTGGTCCCCACCTGTTTTTGTTTGTCTATTATGTTTAATGTTTAGTCTTTTGTTTAGTTTCAGTCAACAATTATTTTTTGTTAGTAGTTATTTCTTTCTTTTGTAAACAGTAGGAGCAATTCAGGTTTTCCCCTATTATTTAATTGTTAATATAAATAGCAGTGGGGGGGCGACAGTCAAACTGATCACCCACATTCTTTGACTTCTCTTCGTTTTCTCCTCTTCTCCTCTCCTTTTATAATTCTCAGATCTCTTTCTTGATTCTGTACATTATATCTTGGACTGATTACGGTCCTACTGGACAACTGGCTCATTCAGAGTATCATATAGATAGTCCCCTTAATTAAATCTCTGCAAACCAAAGCAAGTAGAGAATTCTTTAAATGAGCATTCCATTTACATTTCTTTCCATATTCAAAATTTACATAAATGAGAAACACAAAATACAACCAAGAAACTTTACAACACCATGTTATATTAAAAGGCCATTGCCCAGGTTGGTTCCAACCAAGGTTTAAAATGTTGGTGTCGGTTATCCAAATATAAGAAACATGTCGGAAATGTTGAAAATATTGTAAAAATTATAGACATGGTGGAAACGTTGTAAAATATGCAAAATATAGAATGATATTTTATGAAATGACAAAAGAAGCATAGGCACACCTTTTTAAATTATTATCTTGTTCCAAATTATTAAACAAAACTAAGAAAATAAGGTTATAGACAAAAGAATATGTTCTGAAGTTGCCCTGTAAACCTTAAGCTTTAGAAGTAGAATATCATGATAGAATTAGTTAAAGCAAAATTTAAACTCATAGAAAATGTAAATGGTTGTAATAGATCAACCAATTAATCTACTATAGGAACAAAAACTATTATTTAACTTCATGTTTGAAATGAATACTGAGCTAGCTCAAAGTAGTAATCATGTAAGTTAGGTGACAATAACTTGTTACTTCACATTTCTACAATATTGTCACCAACTTATGTCAATTCTAGTAAAATTTAATGTTGCTACCCATGGGGAAATGTCGATTCCAATAAAATTTGTACTCCACGTAGGTCTGGTAGTGTTCATTGGGGAAATGTCGATTCCAATAAAATTTCGTGTCGCTACCCATGGAAATGGAAATATGTCATGGAAATATTAGGGAAATTAGGGACATTTTAAACCATGGTTCTATCTGGGGACTTGGGGGGGGTAGACTGGATATGTTCCTAACCATGGGCATTTTTTGCACAAAGTGGTCGCTCTCAAACTTGAACTTGTGTTCTCATGCTTGCCAGCCTATGATTTTATCATTATACCAAGTAATGATAGAGGAGTTCTCCATCAATTTCCAATGGATCAGGTGACACAAGTGTACTTGTCCTCTGGCATAGAGTGTCTATTGCTGATGGCTCTCTTGTTCCCATTTCAGGCAAGGGGGACATCAATGTCTCTGATGCTATTTCCATATCCTCAATTTTGCATGTTACTAAACTAAGTACTTACTTTCAGTCAATAGTATCGCTAAACACCAGAATTGTTTAGTGACATTGTTCCCTGATCATTGTGTTTTCTAGGATCTGGCAACGAGTAAGGTGATTGGGACTGGCCGTGAGATGAATGGGATCTACTTGCTTGAACATCCACCTGGGAAGAGTAAAGAAGTTGGGAAGTCTTTTGTATCACTGTCTATGAGTCAGATTATGCTTTGGCATAATCGATTGGGTCATTTGTCTTTTGGGTCTTTAAGGAGTCTTTTTCCTAATTTGTTCGAGTCAATCCAAGTGTCCATTTTGAAGTGTGAGAGTTGTGAGTTGGCAAAGCATTGTAGATCAACTTATTCACAAAGAAATAAAAGAAGTTCTTTTCCTTTCAAAATTGTGCATACCGATGTTTGGGGGCCCTATCATATTCCTGTTATGGGTGGGTACAAATATTTTCTATTGTTTGTTGATGACTACTCTCGRTTTTCATGGGTTTACCTCATGTGCTCTCGGGATGTGGTTCCCACTTTGACCCGTGTTTTTCATCAAATGATCTTGACTCATTTTGGGGTTAAAATAAAAAATCTAAGATTTGATAATGCCAAAAAGTATTTTGCAAAACCCTTATCTTCTTATCTCCTTGAACATGGAGTGATTCATCAGAGCACTTGTCCTCATACCCCTCAGTAGAATGGGATAGCTGAGAGGAAAAATAGGCACATCCTTGAAGTTGCAAGAAGCATCATGCTGAATTATAATGTTCTTATACGTTTTTGGGGGGATGCCATTCTTATTGCTATTTATCTCATTAACAGGATTCCTTCACGAGTCTTGGACATGAAAGCTCCTTTTAACTTGTTGTATTCTGATAAGGAGCAATTTTCTATTCTTCCCAAAACTTTTGGTTGCACTTGTTTTGTCCAAATCCTTGGGCCTACTCGTTCAAAATTTAACCCTAAGGCTGCCAAATGTATATTCCTGGGGTATGCACAAAATCAAAAGGGGTATTGCTATTATGACCCTATGTCGAGAACTAGATTTGTATYTATGGATGTCACCTTCTTTGAAGATGGCCCCTATTACCATAGAGTTCCACCGTAGGGGGAGAGTAGTGAGCATGGTATTTCTGCTCAAGATGTCCTTTGCCTATTTTTGCAAGTGGAAGGGAGTGTAATGAGGGGAATTGTCAAAAGTGTAAAGAATTAAGGGTGTTTCACAGAAGATGGTGGCAGCAAGTTGGTTCCAGTAATGATCAATCCAGGCCAGTTCCTGTCTCTTCTTCGTTACTAGATATAGGTATTGTCTCCTTCGTTACTGAGACTCAGCCATCCTCAGATGACCTTGACCTCCCAATTGCAGTACGCAAGGGGAAGTGTTGGTATCCATTGCCCATTGTATCTCCCATTTCCTTTCTTATGACCACCTTTCATCATCATATAAGTCTTTTTTAGCCTCTATTGCTGCCATTCCTATTCCTAGAACGATGCAAGAAGCCCTTGTGAAAAATGATACTTGGGAATTGGTTGATCAACCAAGAGGGAAGAAGCTTATTGGCTGTAGGTGGATATTCACAGTGGAAGTATAATGCCGATGGTACAGTTGAAAGACATAAAACTAGACTAGTTGCTAAGGATACACTCAAAGTTATGGTATTGATTACTTGGAAACCTTTGCACCAGTTGCAAAAATGAACACCATCTAGGTTTGTTGTCTCTTGCTGCTAACTTCTCATGGCCATTGTTTCAGATGGATGTTAAGAATGCATTTCTACATGGTGACTTGCAGGAGGAGGTGTATATAGAGTTACCTCCTGGTTTTTATGATGCAGAGATTGGTAAGAAAGTTTGCAAGTTGAAGAAAGCTTTGTATGGTCTAAAACAATCTTTGAGGGCATGGTTTGATAGATTCAAACTTGCTTTGGAAAGATTTGGCTATGTTCCAACCAAATCTGACCACACTCTTTTCATTAAGAAGAAATGATCTACTTTGACTCTCCTAGCTGTGTATGTTGATGACATTGTTGTGATAGGAAGTGGCATTGATGAGATTAATTCTCTTAAGCAACTGTTTAATCAAGAATTTGAAGTAAAGGATTTGGGTGAGTTGAGGTATTTCCTTGGGATTGAAGTGGCAAGGTCCAAGCATGGCATTTTTGTTTCCCAGAGGAAGTATGTTCTTGATCTCTTGGAAGAAACAAGAAAATTGGGAGCTAAGCCTATAGATACACTGATTGAGCAAAACCATAAAATAAATGTAGAGGATGGTGAGCCTCTTGAAGATAAAGGTATGTATCAATGGCTTCTAGGAAGACTTCTCTACCTATGTCTGATTCACCTTGACATTTCTTATGCTGTTGTCAGTGTTGTTAGTCAGTACATGCACTCTCCCAAGACGTCACACCTCATTGCTATTGAGAGGATTTTAGCCTACTTGAAAAGGTGTTCAGACCAAGGTATACTTTTTAAAAATAATGACCATATGAAGATTGAAGTATACACTGATGCAGATTGGGTAGGTTGTATTGATGATAGGAGATCTACTTCAGGGTATTGTGCCTTTGTTGGAGGAAATCTAGTTTCTTGGAGGAGCAAGAAACAAAATGTTGTTGCTCGCTCTAGTGCTGAAGTTGAATATAGGTCTATGGCTAATGGTGATGCTGAAATATTATGGCTGAAATCTCTCCTTACAAAATTGGGAATTGAGTTTGGAAGATCCTTAATGCTGTATTGTGATAACCAGGCGGCCATTAACATTGCTCACAATCCAATACAGCATGATATAACCAAACACATTAAAGTTGATAGACATTTCATCCGAGAGAAAGTTGTCTCTCAAGAAGTATGCCTTCTATATGTTACCACTAATATGCAGTTTGCCGATGTCTTCACCAAGTCAGTCAACAGAATCAAGCTTGAGACAGATTTAAGCAAGTTGGGAATGATCAATATATTTTCCCAACTTGAGGGGGAGTGCAGAGAAAATGATTGACCAGCTTGTGGTCCCACATGTTCATATGTTTCCTCTGATTATAATACTGTTAGAATGTTTCTTTCAGTTGTTTCTAGTGATAGGGGTATTCCTGTCATTGTACCACTTATTATTATAAGCCTAATATAAATAGCACTTGGGGCGGCTGACTAAGGCAGACCGAACCCCTTTTCTCTTCTATTCTTTATTTCTCCTCTCTTTTCTTCTCTTCTCTTCATCTCTGTTTTCTTCTTCTTTTCTGATTACTAAACTGGTCTGAACCTCCTTGGTTTCAGACTACTTATTGTGTAACCATCATTACTGAAGCTTCCATATGAGAAGTTACTACATTGCATGGAACACCACAAGCAATAGTTTCAAACAGAGATCCCACTTTTCTTAACAGATTTTAGACAAGTATTTAAGCTCCAAGATTCTAATCTGCACAACTCCCCTAGTTACCATCCCCAGTCCAACAGCCAGACGGAGGTGGCCAACTGTAGATTGGAGACCTATCTATGTTGTTTTTCTGGTGAACCTAAGTTATGGGTACAATGGTTACATGGGTGGAATTCTGGTTCAACACCTCATTCCACATATCAACAGGTATGACCCCTTTTCAAGCCTTGAATGGAAGATTCCCACCCTTAATCATGCCATATGAGAGGGGTTCAGTCAGTCTCCATAGCAGCTGTTTATTCCTACCTCATGGGATGAGGTGAGGTCTTGCAGTTCCTCAATAGAAACCTTCTTAAAGCACAATGAAAAATGAATGAGCAATATGACAAGAAACACAGATCAGTAGAGTTCAACAGTGGAGATTGGGTGTACCTTAAATTGCACCCATACAGACAGGCTTCTATAGCTAAGTGCATTTGGCACAAACTCCCCCACGATTTTATGGCTCCTTTAGGTCAGCCCAATAGCTTATCGGTTTGACCTCCCTGACACTGCAAGGTTGCATCCCATGTTCCACATCTCTCTATTGAAGAAGCATTTGGGGCCTGAAGTGGTTTGTAGCACCACTCTACCAAATGTGAAAGAAGATTGTGAGCTGTGCTCGACCTAAATCCTGAATAGATACTTGACTACAATTGGGTGAAGATTGGTAGAAAAAGATTTTCACAGAAGCCCTGGTGGCTTGGGCTGTACTTCCAATGGAAGATGCTACATGGGAGTCCTGCTCATCCCTGGCACAACAGTTTCCTCAATTAGCCTTTGAGGATGAGGCCCCTCTTGAGGTGGGGAGAAATGTTACAGCCCAGCCCGAGATCAGCTCAATTGAGCCAAGTCCAGGTGGGAATACTGGTTCCAGGCCCATCATCAGGAAGGTGTATGTAAGGAAACTGCAACACCTGAAGCCCAAGACTAATTAATCAATCAAAGGTATTAGAATCTTCTGGAATCTGAGTTTGTTATTGGTTAGATCTATTGGGAGCCATTTGTCATGTATTGGCTCCCTCCTATATATGTCTTGTTGGGGGGGGGGGGGGGTCCCCAGCAAGTGAGATGTACTTTCCCCATTTGCTTTGCAAAGGAAGCAAACACTTTGCCTTTTACTCAGAAAAAAAAAGTGGCACATCACATGGCTTTCTGTCCTTACCAAACTGAAAATAAAATGAAAGAGAGAAATAAGAAGAAAAAGAGAAGAAACCAGTGCAAGGGGCCTTTAGCCAGAGAAGAACATCAGGTAGGGGGAATGCTGTCTCTCTTGCTGCATGCTTGTGCCCCTTTACTCTTTTATTTGGAGAGCATGGTTCTCTCTTCCTGAATTCATTCACAAACATCTATCCTCTCTCCTCTTTTGCCAATATGCATAACAACAGCAGTAGAAATAAACCACCTACAGCCTAGTCTTCGGAGTTGGCCAACCACTATGCTCTACAAAAATTTAGAAAGCCATTACCCAATGTGGTCCAGGTTATCTGGGGTCTTGGGAAGGGTAGATTAGGTAAGGTCCTAACCTTTGGCATTCTTTTGATCAGTTCCTGTATACATCATCTTGTTGTACATGTTTTGTTTTTTTAATATAATTATTACTTAACCCCCAAAAAATAAGGCCCAATTGTTAATTTCTTTGGGTGAATTATTCTATTGAAGAATCTTCCAAAATTTTCACTTCAACAATTACAGATTTAGATGAAAAAGGAGTAAGAAGAGGGATGAGATAAAAAACTTATGTCAGATAAAATCTTAGGGTTGTCAGCCCCTATTATATTATTTATGTAACGAACACTAAAGGACAGAAATATTTCTATTCCAAGATGCACAGAAAACTCAAAATATTCCTTATTTGCACTTTTTATTGGCAATGAACTTAAATAATCTGCAGAAGTTTGTATGAGAATTTCTAACTTGAAAATATGTCATTTGAGGAAGTTGTTTATAAGAGCCTTGTCATATTTGTAGGTATGGTCCGTTGTCAGTCGTAGGCCTTGGGTTCGTAAGATTTCCTTTGTGGCTCACTCTTTGGGTGGTCTGGTTGCAAGATATGCTATTGGGAAGCTTTATGTCCCTTTTCCTGAAAGGGTTTCCTTTTCTACTGGGAACTCTTCAAGTGAGGATCATTCAAGATTGTCCAAGGAATTTCTTGAGCAACCTAATGAAAGTAGAATTGCTGGATTGGAACCCATGAATTTTATAACTTTTGCGACACCCCATCTGGGTTCAAGGGGACATAAACAGGTAGATCAAAGAGTGCTATTTCATGCTTTTGCCTATTTAAGTTTTTCTTTTCTTGTCTTATCTGATTGTTAATTAAAATCATTAAACTAAAGTCATGTTTCTATTGCTTTGATTATATTATTTCCACAATACTCAAGTATGTGCATAAATAAATACTTGAAAAATATTTATGGAATTGGTTTGCTTCCTGAAAAAACATGGAATTTTCCACATGGCAACATAGTTCAGAGCTCCAAATAAGTCTCTACATTGCTCCCCCACCTTTTGTTTATTGGAAAAACTTGAGGCCAAAAGACCTCCTAGATGTTCAAAGTGGGCCTTCTTTTATGGAGGACTTTTGTATTATAAATTGAAACAAGTGTTGCTAGTCTAGTCTTTTTGTTTTTGTTTGTTTGTTTGTTTGTTTGTTGTTGTTGTTGTTATTATTATTATTATTTAATTTTGAAATATGCCCAGAAGACTGGATCAATCTGAGATTTAATAGAAGCAGAGAAGTAGGTGAAAGAGTACGGGACGAGCAGTGGATGACTTCGATAAACTCTGCGGTGATTCAATAAATCCTGAACTTTTCACTGGAGCTGAGCAAATGAGAACAGCTTGTAGTCTGAACTTTTTGGATGCAGTGGAATTGAAGGGTCAGAATACAAAGAGAAAAGATGACATCCATTTAAGTGAAAATGTACTCTAGATACCTGAGATTTAATATGAGCAGAGAAATAGATGAAAGGGTAGGACTTGTGCCTTCAGACATTAACCATGAGCCTATGAACTCTCATTGTGGCATGTTGGTTGTGTCAAGGGGGCTAGGTGAAATGGGTGAGGGGCGTGAAGGAGAGAGATGGAGGTAGGACTGAAAATTTGGAAACTGATAGAAAATATTTTTGGGGGGCTTGGTAAGATTAGAGTTGCAAATCAGAATAGGAGCGTTGGGATCAGATGAAAAATAAGAGAAGAAGAAATGATGTTTAAAATCTCAAAATATGACATCAATTATGATAAGGAGAAAAGTAGGAGGAAGGAGAGAAGGAGGAAGAGGTAATAGAGGGTCTTTTGGGCAGGTTTAAAAAAATAGCAGAGATGAAAGTGATCAGTTGGATGTGAGAGTATTAGGAAATTTAGAAAGAGAAGGATAACCAACACAATGTTGTGATAGGATAAGCTGGATTGTCTTGAAAGTTGAAACAACTCTCCAAAAGAGACGCTTGGAGGGATACAGATGCCAAATGGTCTTTTGCACCATCATGAGGGGATTTTGTGGGGAATCTTAACAATGTTGGACAAAATTCAATGGAAGTCATAGAGGAATTGATAAGGAGATACTTAGTGTATGTAAAAATGAGAGAAGTTGAAACAACTCTCCATAGATCAGGTATGACTTGCACTTAAGTAACTTCATTAAATTTTGGGAACATGTTTGGGTTGGGGATTCCTCTTTGAATGATTAATTTCCAGGCCTCTTTGCTATCTCTACCCTTAAAATGAACCAGTTTCCTCTTTTTTTGTAACTTCTAATTCACCTTCTGGGTTTGGATGGAACTTGAGCTTGAGAAGAGATGTCAGGGACACAGAGTTAGCTTGTACTTTAGCCTTATTATTCATTCTTGAAGGGGTCTTCATTGAGCCATCAAAGACAGATAATAGAATATGGACACTCACTCCCTCGGGTTCCTACACTTGTGCCTCTTTCTTTAAAGCCCTTTTACCCCCTCCTCCTATTGGATTGTCTTTCCCTGTGAAAGAAGTGCTGTGTCTACCTATACCTCCAAAGGTTGGGAGTTTCTGTTGGGAAGCCTTTATGGAAAGAGTTAATACAGGGGATCTAATTCAAAGAAAAAGACCCAATAGTTGTTTGTCTCCTCACTGGTGTGTTCTCTGTAAATCCGATGGTGAGTCTGGATACCATTTACTAATTTTTTGTTAGTTTGTTAATGTTATTTAGGAATGGTTTACTTCTTTGTTTGGGTGTAGGTGGACTCCCCTTTTGAATGTGCAAAGCTTATTTACTTCCATGCGTAACTGGCCAACTAAAAGGGCCAAGATCATGTGGAGATGTGGTAGGGCTGCGGTGTGTTGGACTGTTTGGGAGGAGAGGAACTCAAGGATATTCTCAAATAATGAGAGAAGTTTGGAAGTAATCCTGGAGACTATCCACATTAGGGTGATACATTGGAATTGTTTACAGTTTTCTCAGTTGATGAGATGATTAGAAGTTGGAAGGAGATTGCAGATTCAGGCTCAATTAAGAAGACCTTAAATTCTTGCTGGACACCTCCACCTCATGGACTTACCAAACTGAACTTTGATGGTAGCAGCATAGGCAATCCAGGGCCCTCCGGAGTAGGGGGAGTGATAAGGGATGAAAAAGGGAATTTGTTAGCCATGTATTCTGGTCCAATTGGAGTGGGAGATTCCTTGAGAGCTGAGATTCTAGGAGCTCTTGAAGGGATACAAAGGGTCAAGGAAATGAATATTAAAAAGTTGATCATAGAAGGTGATTCTGAAATTGTGGAGAATTGGCTAAAAGAGGACAGCTCTATGCTCTGGAAATACAGCAATGAAAAGAGGAAGTTCAAGTGGCTCACCAAGGACATTGAAATTCATTGTACATGGATAAAGAGAAGTGAAATCGCATTGGTAGATGGTCTAGCTAGGCAAGGGGTGAACAAAAGCTCTATCTTTTGGGCTGTTTTGTAATTGTTTCATGGTTAGGATGTTTTTTGGGTAGTTGGGAGTTAAGATTCCTTAGCTCCTTCCTTTGTAATTCTGATTTTCTCAATCATTAATAAAATTCATTGTCATTGATCAAATAAAAAAAAATGAGAGAAGTTGAAGATGGATTTTGTTTTCTCAGTAGAAAGAAACCAAGATATTGGACTGACTCATAGACTCTGTAGAAAGAAACCAAGATGATTATGCCATAAATAAACCTGACTCATATTGGACTGATTCATAGACTCTATAGCTGCAAGATCAGATTCTGTGGCTTCAAAACTAGCTTTATTCTCCAACACATAGACTATTGACCATACTACATCTACCAATCATCTCACCCGAGGTCAAATCCTATATAACACAACAAGAAGGAAAAAATGTTACTAAGCAGTTCAATGAATTTGTAATGCTACTAATGAAAAACAAGTTTATGGGAATTTCAGGTACATGTAATACATTTGAGAGAGTTAAGGCCCAATGAGAGGGAAATGGTTCCTTGACCAGCTATAGTGGAGAATGAACCAACAACTAGTCTCACCTTATCTCTCCCAGAAAGTAGGTTATAGGACTGAAATAAGTTGAATTTACCCATCATATGGTTTGACACTCTAGAGTCAATGATCCCAGGAAACGTTGAAGTAAGAGAAGATACATGGAAGGCTGTGGCAAAGTTACCTGACACCGACAMAAAGGAAGTGGTGGGAGTAGTGTTAGAATCCATTTGACGAAGTGTCCTACCATACATCTCAAGATGGTCACTGAAAGAGTTGATGATATCTTCCTTTGGATCGGAACTAGAAGGACGATCTTGGTTCATAGTGGGACTTGAAGTCTGATGTTCCTAGGAAACTATGTTTGCTGAGTTGTACTAATTTTTGACCCTGCTGAGTAGGCTTCTTATTCTCTTTTTGAACTGATTTCTTACTTAGCTCTTGTGCCCACTCAGCCTTTCCATGGAGATCCCAACAAGTGTCTCTAGTGTGCCTAGACCGTTGACAATGAGTACACCACAGTTTATTTTTGTCATCCACTCTTTTTTGATATCTTTACTTCCCAATATCTGAACACTAATAGATTCATACATAGGATTCAACTCCAAAACAAATGCAAAAACCCGTTGCTGAGAAACCCGAGACTTGTAGGCCTTAGAAGACATGCTAGGAAAGGGCTGATTGCACTATTTGGTCACAAAGAACAGTAAGAAAGAGAGAAACTGTCACAGTGTTCACTCAAAGCAGAACTATAGGATCATTTTTGTTTAACTTTGAACCAAGAAAATAYACTACCACACTGCTGAGAAAGAGTTCCAGAAGTAAAACAGCTATATTTCGGGTCTGGACAGCCCCTACAAGGATTACTTTACCCTATTTCAGGCCACATGAGTTCTACGAACACCAAAAACAATGTATAAAACTGCYGTTACAGCAGGTACAGGTCATCCAGACCAACACAACCCAACTACCTGTGTACAAAAAAGGATCACATGATCCACATGGGTACTGAAAACATCTTCACAGCATCTGTTCACCCCTATTACAGGGGGTTCTTGGAATACGACCAAGAAAAAAAAGGGAAAAACAGCACAAGAACCACTTACAGATAGCCAATGTACTTTCCCTTTAGTTTTTATCAAAAAGAAAGAAAATCTGAAGAAGAAACATTTGATCAAACTGTCTTTAATCCCAAAACTGATGCTCTAATACCATGTTTTCTCAGTAGAAAGTATTAAAGTTAGAGGAGAGAAGTGAGAAAAGAGAAGGATGGATTTGGAGTTAAAAAGATAGGCTGGTGACTTGGGATCAAATCCTGCCTGCACCTGGGTTGGGGGATGGGCAACCCCCCATTGTGTAGCCCTTCAAAAGAAATAAAAAAAGATAGGCTGGTGGCGCCAAAGTGCACTCTGTGAATTGATGGTCAAATAGGCTCCTCCATAGTTGGCAAGGAAATAAAGACATCATTGGAATTAAAGGGAAGCAAAATAGAAGGAAAAGGTTCACGTCTAGAGAAATAGGGTAAACTCTCAAACAAAGTAACATCCAAAGCAATAAATGTTTTCCGTAGATTAGGATCATAGCACTTGTAGCCTTTTTGAGTATAAGAGTAACCAAGGAAAACACATCTAATATAGCTTTGGAGTCAAGTTTATCATGGCCTAGACCCAATTTGTGAACAAAACACACACAACCAAGCATATGAGCAGGAAGACAAAAAGAGGAAGTAAAAGATAACAAGATAGAGAAAGGTGACTCCCATTTAGGACTGGAGGGCATACAGTTTATGAGAAAACAAGAGATGATAACTGCATCACCAAATTGATTCCTTATCTCAACATGAAAAGATAGAAAAATAGAGAATAATTTTGAATGATACAAAATAAATCCACGCCCTCATACAAAATAATCCATCGGGCCTACAACTTGGGCCCGAGCTTGGCCCTCATAAAAAGCTTGAAGCCTGGGCCTGGGCCCGAGCCCAAAGTATATAGCTCATGTCGCTACTGAAGCGGCTGAATAGAGAGAGAGAAATTATAAAGAAAAAAATAAAAAATGTATATATATTAAATTATTATATATTATAATAAATATTATATATTTTATATTATATAAATGAGTCAGGACGGGCCTGGCTTTTCTGACAAATCCCGAGCCCGACCTGACACACAATCGGGCTTGGTGTTTTGGGCCCAAGGTCAGGCCCGCGGGCCTAATTACATGTCCAAGCCCGACCGGGGTGCGGGCCGGGCCGTAGGGCTACCCGGCCCATGAACAGGTCTACTCGCAACTTGAGACGTCACAAGGCTGCCCTCTTCAAACTGCCAAATAGAGGGTCTTTTGAAAAGCACCAACAACTCACACAACACAACAACTTGAGGCATTAAATCCTATTTTCCAAGGGGGCAATCAGTCCTCTTGAGTCCTTTTCCTTTCCAATGAAGAATAGAGAATATGCTCTATTCCTAGGCCATAAAAAGATGAGACGTGAACAATGTCGTGAACAGTAACAGTTTCCCTCAAAGCTCTAATACCATGCTCCAACTTCAATAAAGAGAAGTAAAGGAAGAAGGTAGAGAGAGAGAGATATGAGAGAGGGAAGACAATCAAGGTGAAGTAATAGAAATATTCCTTGGACTCAAAAGAATGTATACAGGGAAGTTGAAAGGAATGCAAGAGAATTGGATGCTGAATTCAAGTGGGTTAGAAGAAATTTAAGTGGGATAGCTGACTTCCTTGCTAAACATGGGGTAGCAAGGCAACAATTGTTTTGGGGTTCCTTGTAACACAGTTGTATTAAAGGGGATGATGTTACAGTCATCAAATTGTATTGTTTTTTCATATAATTAATCAATAAAATCATTTTTGTATCGATAAAAAAAAAAAAAAAGAAATCTACCCAGGTGATTACTGGTGCTTAATACCACGTAAGCAAACTGGAAATGGATCTCTAAAGGAAGAGAAAAACTGTATATTAGGCCTGCAAGCAGCTAGGTTTGGTTGAGAAGAGAAGGAATGGAGCAAAGTAGGGTTGAGACTTGAGAGAGCAGAGATTGAATGAACTCATTTTCCAACTGCCCTCCAACTTTTATTAAGATTATAATGCTGTATATAATTACAGATATACCCCTGGTTAAAATAAAAGAATGATAATGACACTTACACCCTGCTACCGATGAAAAAGGTTACATAAATAAAACTGCTAATAACTTCTTACAGAAGTAATAGAAATGGAAGAAAGGAGAGAAGGAATGAAGAGAAAAAGATGCTCTTCGGGATTCATTTGCAGCCCTTTATTTTATTATTTATATGAAGTGTGTACAATTACAAATTTATCCCTGTTGTCTAATATTAAGTTTATTGGCAGAATACAACAATGATAGCATAATATATATGTAATTACATGTTAGCATAGTAAAATAAATACTAAGATAATGAACTTTTCAACAATATTGTTATTCTGTTTTAAGGCCTTATTGAAAGGGGATTCCAAAACTCTAGCTGAATTTCTGTTTGGTGTCTTGGTCAAATAAAGGATTGCTGTAAGAGACTCAAATTTGCTAGCAAGAGAGATGGGTGCAAGAATTGAATGGGTACCAAGATCAGCCAATAGTATGGCTGATAATCTTGCCAGGTAACGTGTAAGAAGAAATAATTTTTTTGTAGGGACAAGGCTGTAAACAGGGGTGGGTAGTCAGCAGTGATATCTGACCCAAAATAAGGGGTGCAGTGGCACATGTATGTTTTGTAAATCATTTTAATTAATTAAAATCATCTTTCTGTTACTCAAAAAATATCAATGTAACCTTACATCAATAGATGTTATTTATGGGAAAAAATCAAAGAAATTTGGGATGGTGTAGAACTGTAGATAACACCTATTCCTAAGCACTGAACGCTACTAAATGTGGTTGATAGAAAATGGCACTGTCATTTTAGTTTTTGTTGATAATTCTAACTTCTCTTATGAAAATTGTTTGTGGGCATGTTTGTTTTAGTAATTTCACCTATCTATGTGCAACTTTGATCTGCCTTGAAAAGTTTATCTGTTGAATTTGGAATCTTGTTTTGGATTTTTTCTTTTTCTCCTTCCTTTCCCTTTATATTTTGTGTTGCTTGTGCAGCTCCCATTCCTTTGTGGTGTTCCTTTTTTGGAAAAGAGGGCATCACAGACTGCACATTGGATTGTTGGACGGACTGGGAAGCATCTCTTCCTAACTGATAGTGATAATGGGAAGCCTCCTCTTCTACTTCAAATGGTTAATGATTGTGATGATCTAAAATTTTTGTGAGTATTTACTAATCTGTGAATACTGTTTGTTATTTTAGATGGCCAACCATGGATTGTTCTGCTACTTGCATTGTTGGTGATATCATCATTTTTTCTCTATGCAGGTCAGCATTACGCTCATTCAAACGTCGAGTTGCTTATGCCAATGCAAATTATGATCGTATCTATTTTCATTGTTGAAGTTTTCTTTTTATGAACAATTGAAAATTAAAATACCAGAAAATTTTTCTATGTAGCCATATAGTTAGAACTTAGGCAATTATATCTCATTTTTAATGTGACTTTTTACTGGGAATAGATAAGTAATTATATCTCCTTCTTTTTCTTCATAATAACTGAATTTCATTTCACAGAAAAATAGCTGACTACAGGAGTCAGTCTAAACTATGGAGTACAAGATAGTTATAAGCTGACAAAAAACTATAGTTATATCCCTGTCTATCCAGTCCATTGCTTCTAGTGCGCTGAATAGTTGGGAACAATATTAGGTTACTATTATAAGTAGCCCATTTTGGGTTAATAAGGTTGTTTGTAGTTAATTCTCTTCCTCTCTCTCTCTCTCTTTATATATATAATGTGCTGCAAACACACACATACTATTTACTTTGAAGTTTGAATAAGTATTGTTATTTTTTTGTGTGATTTAACCACTTAGTGATTTGAGCTCTTGTTTAATAATTTATTATTAATATGCTTGATCTATTAGCATCATTTGCATTTTTTATGAGTTTAAGTTTTTCTTGAACTCATTCTATCATGGGAGTAAAACCGACCTCCGGGTATCTAGACACGTGGCATCCATAGGCGAGCTGTYGATTGATTCACGAGTTGGATTGTGAGCCCATCTCGATCTCGGGTCAGGAAGAATCACCTTGGGGATTGTGAGCCCATCTCATTAAGAGATGTGCAACCTGAGGAACGAGCTGCCCCGAGTTCCCACGAAGTCCCGATCAAAGAACGACCTCAGATGACTATTGAGCCGTGGTCTGGGAAAGTAGTTCCCATTTGGCAGCCCATGCAATAGAATAGTCGACATGTAAGACAACTCCGTCAACTAGTGGGTCCTGGGCCCACACCATGCATACATAGCGTGGCACACAGGTCAGCCAAGCATGCTACACTCGAGTACTAGGTGGCTGGGTCGTCTGACTAATTTCCARGTGGCCTAATAGGGCTCTAGGTGTCCTGGAGCCGAGCTCTGGGTATCCTGACCTAGCCCCAGGTGTTCTAGGCCAAATACTAGGTGTCTCGAGGTGCGACAAATGTCCCACACTTATCCAACACTAATGCTCCTAACATGCATCCGAAGCCTATATAAAGGTCAGAATAGCATTCAATTCATACTTTGTGCTTCACTGAATTCTCACCTACCCCCTTGGACAACTTGGTGCACTGACTTGATCATTAGAGTTACAACCTTGGGAGATCACCCCGGGCCCTCTGACCTTGCTTCTCCCTTTGCAGGCAAACTCCGAGCCGCTCTGAGGACCTTGACGACTTTTGACGGCATCAATTGGCATCGTCTGTGGGAATTCCTTGGACAAAAGGCCATCTTCAAAGTTACCTTCAACTCTACCGGCATGTCACAGATTTCTAGACACACCCACCGAACTTCCCATCGTTCCCCCGATGAGACTTCTTGGGGGCATCTTCGGCGCTCCCCTTCTCTTAAGGGACTTCGGGGAGTCTACCGCAAGGAGTTCAAAGATTTGGTGCAGATAGTTAGGGACATGAACCTCAGATTTCATGCGAGAGATGAGCTCATGTGGATTGTTAGGCAAGCAACGTGAGATGCAACAATGGAAGCACAATAGAACCAATAGTCACCACCACCTCCTGGAGACCATCCAGTGCAGCCAATTCAGCAAAATCAGGTCATATAGCTCGTCCAACAGATATAACAACACCAGCCAGTTCCACCGTCGCCTTTGCTAGTTAACCCTCCAGCTTGACACAGTGAAGGGAGCCTTAAACGAAGAGACAAGTCACTGCCTCACCATGATCGACATCGGGGAGAGCGCACCGAGAGAAGAGGAGACAAGACGGGACCGRCATGATAGGAACCATCAGTGGCCGGATCCACCTGCTTAGGGCTCGTATTTCGCCGGGGAGATGAGCAGATCAAACTCCTCCATGACAGATCAATCGCGAGCATCTGAGCAACTCAAGAGGTGTCAGCATCATTCACCAGTAGGTAACCGAGGTGAGCGCCTTGATAGGCTTAACCCTGCTCACCAAGTAGTGGTAAGCCACCAATACTGTACCCAACCTAGCAAGAGCATCCCCCCTTGTTCCAGAGATTTTGTTGGAACCACTACCTATGGGGTTTAAAGCCTCGACCTTTGAGATGTACGATGGTACAACCGATCCAGTAGACCACATAGAGAGCTTTCAAGCTCTAATGTTGTTCCATGGAGCCTTGGAAGCCAGTATGTGCTTGGACTTTCCCACTACCTTTAGGAAAGCAGTTAGGCTATGGTATTTTGGGCTCTCCCCTCCGTCCATAAAACGTTGGACCTAGTTTTCAAACCTGTTCATTACTCACTTTGCTATGAGTCGCAGATGTCAAAAGATGGCGGTGATCCTGATGCACATCAAGCAAAAGGCCAGAGAGAGCTTGTAGGCTTACGTGTAGAGATTTAAGAACGATGCATTGGAAGTGTGCGACCTTGAACCTGTCGTCAAGTTGGTAGTAGTGGTGCGAGGTGTTAGGGATAAATATTTTGGGTTTTCATTGACGAAGATACCTTGCTACAACATGAAGGAGTTCATGGGCAGAGCAACAAAGTACATAAATGCCGAGGAGCTGTTCTAGATGAAGAAAGATCACAAAGACATGAAGCGTAGACGAGACGAAGAAGACAAAGGACGAAAGAAGTGATTAAATTAGAATATGCACTATGCTTTGGGTTCAAGGCATCCAACAACATGGCTAAGTATGAAGCATTGATCGTCGGGTTGAACTTGGCCATTGAAGTTGGAGTGACATTGTCCGAGACGAGAACTTGAGGTAGGCCTAACCTGCAAATGATGTTCTTCCATACGAAGTTCAGTATATTGCGAGATGTAACCATAGCCAACGGCTCAACTTCTACCCACTTTGTAAAGTAATCAATGGTGACTATGAGCTGCTTGCATTTCCCTGTCGCTAGTGGAAAGGGTCCTAATAAGTCGACTCCCCACTGCGCAAATGGCCACAGACTGACGTGGTATTGGAGGTTGGCCTCGGGCTGGCGAGGGATGTTTTCATGGCATTGGCAATGATCACACCTCTGAACAAAGCGGAGTTTAACAGTCTTCATGGTGGGCTAGTAGTATCCCTACCGCAATGCTTTTTGAGCCAGTCACCTGCCCCCCGTGTGTGCTCCGTACATCTCCGCATGGATATCTCGAAGTACATGTTCAGCTTTAGAAGGCCTGAGACATCTAAGGTTTGGCAAGGTGAACGACTTCCAGTATAATTGGTCCATGATGATGGTTTGTTGGGCTGATTTTCTCTGTATTCATTTGGCTTGCATCCGATATGATGGCAGAGCACTTGTTTGCAAGTAAAGCAGTATCGAGTCCATCCAGCTCGGTTCGGGTGCCAACATTGGAGAGACCTCGACAGTAGGAGTATCCAAAATGCTAGGCCGATGCAAATCTTCGACGTTTACGGTTCTCCAAGAATTGTCTGTGCCAAGCCAGCTAGTCTTGATAACGCATATGCTTGCGCGTTCCCTGACCTAGGAATATGGAGGATGTGGAACTCTTCAAAGTGGGGGAGTAATCCCCGTACCTTTGCATGATACTTGGCCACAACGGGCTCTTAAGCCTCGTAGAGTCCTTTCACTTGGTTGACTACGAGCTAGGAGTCACTGTACATTACGAGCTTTATCACTCCAACTTCTCTGGCCAAGTTTAGCCCGACAATCAGTGCTTTATACTCAACCACATTGTTGGATGCCTTGAACATGAAGCATAGTGCATATTCTAATTTAATCTCTTCTTTGGGTCCAAGTAAATTAAGTTTGGCGCCACTGCCCTTTTGGTTGGGCGACCCGTCTACATGTAAGGTCTAGGTCGTCGATGGGTTTGCATCAGGAATAGGTTTCGAGCTGGTGGATTCCTGCTCCGAGGTGTGTTGCTCTAGTTTAAAAGTGTATTCTACAATAACGTTGGCCAATGCTTGTGCCTTGACCACAGGTCGGGATTCATATCTCACATCGAATTCGCTGAGTTCAACAGACCATTTGACCAATCTTCTCGAGACCTCTGGCTTTGCTAACACCTGCTGAAGTGGTTGGTCAGTAAGGACCACGATGGTGTGTACCTGAAAATAAGGTCGGAGTTTTATAGCTAAGATGATTAGGGCATAGCCAATTTTTCTATGTTTGTGTATTTGGTCTTGACGTTCTGTAGCACCTTGCTGAAAAAATAAATGGGGCGTTGGACCCGATATACCTCCCATGTGAGCATCGAGCTTATGACTTCGTCACTACCAGACATATAGAAAGAACACCTCTCTAGGTTCTGGTGTCGTCATTAGGGGAAGCGAGCTAAGATACTACTTTAATTCTTCGAAGGCACTCTGACACTCTTGTGTCCATTCAAAGTCCTTAGCTTTTATGATGCCCTTGAAGAATGGTAAACACCAACCTTTGAGCTTCAAGATAAATTGGCTAAGGGCAGCCACCCGACTTGTTAGCTGTTGAACTTCTTTAACAAACCTCGGAGGTCACATATGTAGAATAACTTGAACCTTTCTGGGGTTAGCTTCGATGCCACGTCACGAATCCCAGGAATTTTCCCGAGGTGGCATCGAAGACACACTTATTAGGGTTGAGTTTAATTTGATACTCCCTCAACACCCTGAATATCTCATTCAGGTTGCTTACATGATTATATGCAACTTGGCTTTTATCCACCATATTATCGACATAGACTTCAACATTCTTTCCTATTAATTCCTTGAAAATTTTGTTTACAAGTCTTTGTTATGTGGCCTCAACATTCTTTAAACCAATGGGAATTACTTTATAACAAAATAAAGCCTTTTCAGTTACAAAAGATGTCTTTTCTTCATCATCCATGTCCATCAAAATCATATTATATCCAAAAAATGCATCCATGGAGCTGAGAAGCTCATATCCTAAGGTCGCGTCGACTAAGCGGTCTATG